AAAACATAAACAAATCAAAAGGCGGGAAATTTCGGGCGAATCTCGAAATCTGAGGTTCTTACTAGGAGAACATGATACTAAAAGAGGTATCTGAAAAACGTAAACAAATCAAAAGGCGGGAAATTTCAGGCGGATCTCGAAATCTGAGATTCTTACTAGGAGAACATGATACTAAAAGAGGTATCCGAAAAACGTAAACAAATCAAAAGGCGGGAAATTTCGGGCGAATCTCGAAATCTGAGGTTCTTACTAGGAGAACATGATACTAAAAGAGGTATCCGAAGAACATAAACAAATCAAAAGGCGGGAAATTTTCGGCGAATCTCGAAATCTGTGGTTCTTACTAGGAGAACATGATACCAAAGAAGGTATTCAAAAAATCTAAACATTCCAGAGGCGGGAAATTTGAAGAGGATCTAGGAAATTCGAGTGTCTTACTATAACAGCATCATAGTAAAGAATGTTCGCGACTCTGAGAATTTTATTATTTTTCGGACACCTCCTTTACCATTATATTCCTCTGCTGGGTACGATGAAATAAAAGAAACAAGCTTTACAATATTAATTAATTTATTTGGTTTCGCCCATTTCTTAGCATTGACATGTGTAGTACAGAAGCGTTATAAATAATTGAATTATTAATTATAAACTCCCATTGAATCCTTGCTGAAGTTCTACATGATTCCTTTACACTCCAGCACGCCAAACTGCAGCTGAAACGCACCAGTTGAACATTGGGATACTGCAAATATACGTAAATAATGTTAAACGCAACTAAAGATTGTATGAAGGAAATAATAACAATTTTAAATTCCTTGCAATACCTGCACAATCAGCGCCATCTACCATAAAGTCCACAAGGTACTGGAGGAATAGTATAACCAAGCCACCGGTAGATGGCGCTGAACGTATCTCTATCCCCGTCGCACAATATCTCTTTCCATATCTCGATGAACCGGCGCCATCTACAATAGAACGCCCAAGCTGCTCGCCAAATAGTACAGCTACGCTCTCGCTAGAAGGTGGCCTAGTTTCGCAGCGCCATCTATAATAGCAAGCCCAAGGTATTAGCCAAGTAGTACAGCTGTACTCTCGCTAGATGGCCGGCCATGGAGTTTGTCAGCGCCATCTACAACAGAATGTACAACCTGTTAGCCAAATAGTATGGCTGTACTCTCACTAGATGGCACGGCATACATTTCGACAGCGCCGTCTACAAGAGAACGTCCAAGCTGCTCGCCAAATAGTACGGCGAGGCTCTCGCTAGATGGCCGGCCATACTGTCGATCAGCGTCATCTATAATAAAACGCTCAAGCTGCTAGCCAAATAGTTCCAGCTGTTCTCCGTTAGATGTCCCCAAGAAACAAGTATCTCCATCCTTGTCGCACCACTATACTTCTCATTGTCTTACTCATTACGGTCTTACGGAACGCAAACACCTCCTCCGAGAAACGCTAATAACTCACTAATTAGAATTCAAACGCAATCAGAACTGCTACCAAAATATTCCTACGTGTCCACTATAATTTCTCCAATCACAAATGTTCGTCAATTATGCCTATTAAATTAGAAACCAAATAGGTTTCCAGGGAAGATGTAAAAAAATTCTAGGTTAATTTTGGACATCGATCGGAAGAATAATTAATAAACAATTAACGGGGAAGAAAATCCCATCCGAAGCGACATGGGAAAGTAGGGGACGGTCCATTCTATGATCCTAAAGTGCAAATGTTAACAAATTATTCGTGATACTCGAGTTATTAATGAATTCGCCGGTGCTTTATTCATCCACGCGTCGGGTTTAGTTCACAGTTGCCACCGCTAGATGGCGTCACCATAATTTCTACGCCTGAGACCTCCTCGGTCGTGATGCTTCACGCGTACGTACCAGAGACTGATGAGATGCTTTTTCCAAGGAGGTAGCACGAATGCGACTATTTCTGTCCTCGTCGCAAACTGTCTCCTTCCTTGTCTTACACGTTGCAGGTATAGGGAGAAGCTTCGCAAACGCCCGTCCGCTAGATGGCGCTAGTGTCACTCGTTCCTATTTTCGCTCCTGCTGAACTGCAGCCGTTTTTACTATGTATACTGCACCCTTATCTTTGCATTATCTTTTCTATACCTTCCCGTGAACCGATTTCGACGTTCTTGGGGTCAAATTAAAGCTTATGGAACAAAGATAACGATGCTGCTACTGAACATTCGTAAGCGATACGGGAACAGACTGAAAATCGCTGTCAAACGACTGCTCGATGTTAATTGTGTTTGAAGGGTAGTTGGATTTGAAACTATTGTATTAACGTTCTGTTGACCCTTTGACCTACGATTTATTTTTCATCTATAATCGACGGACCTAATTTATTATTAAAAATTTATTAAAAATAGAAATCCTGTGCATATTCTATATCCATTTTTACTTTAAGCTATAATTCGAAACAGAAGAGTACTATTCAATTTGTATTCACAAAACTTAAGTTAATGTTAAATTAATATTATGTTAATATTTATGTTTGTCAAATTTTCTTTGACATCTTCTAGCGAGAAATTTCCGAGTGCAAAGGGTTAAATATTGTTCTCCAATCATCAATTATTGTCCTCCGTCACAAAAATTCCATGTCACAATTGTTTAACAATTTTTAGGATTTTAGTCTATATTTAATTCAAGATTTTTGTCCATTTTTAATAAATTTTTAACAACAAAGTAGATGCGTCGATCATAGTTGAAAAAGAAACCGTAGATCTTGGTTATGCCTAGGATTTCTCTCTATTTTCAATATATCTTTATTAACAAAGTCGGCGTGTCGATCATAGTTAAAGAAATCGTATGTCTCGGTTATGCCTAGAACTTTTTCAATAAATTTTTAATAACAAAGTGGGCGAGTCGATCATAGTTGAGAAAGAAACCGTAGGTCTTGGTTATGCCTAGGACTTTTTCAATAAATCTTTATTAACAAAGTGGGCGTGTCGACCATAGTTCAGAAAGAACCGTAGGTCAAGGGGTTAACTAGGGCAACCGACTTAGACGTCAACGGAAGAACCGAAGCGCGCTCTTCGCTCGTACAATAGAGCAGCGCGGAGTGTCGTCTCTTCTCGTTACGCAACTTTTAATTACACTCGATACGATTTCCTTTTCAGCCGAGTTCCCATCGAACTTCCGTCAGACGCGATTGTGTGCCCGGCACCCGTGACACCGAGTTTTCCATCCCGCGGTCTCTTCAGCGCTCGCGACTTTAATTAACTCTGGAAATGCGCTATTATTTCTTTGAATGCCGGCCAATAATGGATCTTCCGTTTTCACCCTCCTCGCGAGGGCTTAAACCGAAACTTTTAATATTCTTCGGTAATACCAGTGAGCGCCGTCAGGATCAAATGGAATCTTATTGTCTCGTCGGCGAACAATGCACCCTTCCGCCTGTCGTTTCGCTGGAAGTCGAGCGAGGCGAATCGGATCGGTTCAGACTCGACAACGGAAGACTAATACAGCTGACCCTCGATTTATGCGAAGGAAAATCGTGTAAATAGAGGTTGTCGTTAGAAGAGGAAAGAAAATACTGAAGGGAAAAGCTGGAAGTTTTAGAAATATATATTTATTACGTGGATTAACAAAAGAAAGAATAATTATGTAGGAAGTTACACAGTTAAAGTCAAAACGGCAGTTAGAAACGAATAAAAGAAACACCAACACTAGCTGTCGTTAGGACTACCGATCAGCTGTCGGTCATTCGAAACATAAACAAGCGACAGGTGATTGACCGAGAGTGTGAGTGACCGAAAGAGTGAGTGACCGAAAATAACAGTGAGAGCGAGACATTAGGGGCGATAACTGCAAATCCGTGTATGTGAGAAGGTGAGTGAGTGATTAGTATATTAGGAAGGATGCATGAGGAAAAGCGTCTTTTTGTCTTTTGTCTTTTGTGAGAATTGCGAGCTGGAGCGAACGAAGTAATAGAGAGAGTATAGAGAGAGTATTGCGAGTATTGCGAGTATTTAATTATAAGTTAAAATTAAACTTGAAATTTACTTTAAACCTTGCCCTTGATTCATTACAAATTCCACAATTATGAGATTCTAGGAAACGAAAGTATATTTTACTAGATTCAGATCGCGTAAATTGAGATTGTAAATAGTGTTCCAATTTACCGCGTAAAAAAGTTCCGCGCAAATCTAAATTCTTCCCTAGTTATTAAAAGGAACAGATACGTCTCTGCGAAGTTACTAAAAAAATTGTTGTTCTTAATCAATTTCTTAATGAATTATAATGTATAATGCATCAATTTGAGAAATATTCAAACAAAACAGCTTTGTTCCTCGATGCAAAGTGTGATTTCTCGAGTTAGTTTCATGAAATACCCTCTCTATGTCGTCAGAAAATGTTCGAACATTTCTAATGAGAAACTTCCGAGTACAGAGGATTAATGAGGGTCAAATTGACTTTTCGAAATTTATAGGAACTCCGTCGATCTACTCCCCTCGACTCACAAAACTACACTGCACCCCAAACGCCTTACGGTCACCTTAAATAATCCTGTCAACACGGGGCACGATTCTGCAGGTCATCGCGCGTGAACCCTCAAGGGCCAGGTCATAAACGGTCCGTGTATACCTGAGGTACTCATCCTTGCGTCGCACCCCATAATATCAAATTTTATGGTTTTATTGTGTGAAATCTCAAATGATGAATGAGAGTCACCTATCGAGTGCAAAGGGTTAATAAACTCGACGCCAATGCCATATTAAACTCTCAAAAAAGTTTAGAAACTTAAAGAAATTATAAATTTGACAAGCTTGGATACTTTCGTTTTTCCAAAGAACTTTTGTGTAGTATTGAAGCTGAATGTCTATTAATAATGCTATATGGTTGATCACTTTTATTCAACTGCAATTATATAGTGTTTTGTGAATATTTTTGGATACTCTGCAATGTACTTTTGAGAAATGTGATTAGTTCTAGGGTCAAGGGTTCTTAGATAGGGTGGAGAGGTGAATCCTTTGGTTGATGAATTAGAGCAAGCATTGTTCTATAGATTAGAGCAAGCTTTACTCTATAGATTGGAGGAAACATTGATCAATAGATTAGAACATGTGTTACTCTATAGATTAGAACAAGCATTACTCTATATATTAGAGCAAACATTGATCTATAGACTACAGCAAGCATTGCTCTATAGATTAGAGCAAGCATTGCTCTATAGATTAGAGGAAACATTGCTCTATAGATTAATGCAAGCTTTACTCTATAGATTAGAGCAAGCATTGTTCTATATATTAGAGCAAGCATTACTCTACAGATTACATCTATTAGAGCAATTCTCATGCAATTATACAGCAGACTTCGATGATCGTAGCAGAAGCAGGTCGGAAGTGATGAGTCTTAATTAAAATACGTCAGTTACTATCTTTATTCAATAAATATAATATTACATTGTAACATAAGGAATATCCTGGTGTGGTGGTGTGTGATTCTGCAAATATATCTCTATATATACACATTCACACACACGTACAGCCGTATGTATGCACATGTGTATACATATACCATCTTTAATATAAATCTTTCTTCTCTAGAGACAGCACAAAACACATAGTATGGTACAATATCGTTACAACAAGGACAGTCATGGATTTCCAGCAATCCCCTCGAATATCCTAATGCGGTTCCCCTCTGATGTCATGTCATTAAGTCGTCAATGTCATGCCACTTCCCCTGTCATTCGCTCGTCTCTCCATTCGTCGCTTAACCCCTTGCCATACAATGACGAGTGAGACTCGCGATGATTTCTAAACTAATTTAAGAATCAATATTGTTCATCACCCACGGATCAAAGCAAACTATTTCGCTATTATCAATGTATCATCTTCAAATGAAATTTCCACCTAAAGTAGAATGGAAAATTTTGTTGTATTTCTTACGAATTGTCGATAGGAAAATATTACACGAGCTTAGTAACGAAAGTGAATAGTACGCCAAGGGGTTAACAATGTCTTCAACGAGTACTTTCTTCGTTAAGAATTCAAAGAAACAGAAACAAGTCATTCGAGAGAATGACTACTGTCATACGAATCCGAAGAGAACAGGAAAATGATGACTTGGTACTTAACGACAGGACCGTGGAAATCTGTGCGAATCTAAACAGCAGTTTCGAGGAATTAAAGTTAATTGAAGTTGGACCTGAAGAATTTAAAAATATTAATTAAGTTAAAAATATTTAGGATTCTTTTATGAGACTTTTTGTGACTAATATAAAGAATAATATTGGATAAGTTTAAGGGTAGAAGTATTTTATTAATATTTTGATTTATTAGAATTTGTTATTGTTTATTGTAATATATTAGGCGACTGAGAAAGTAAATTATTGGATGCAAAAGGTTGATAGGGAGAGTTTTTTGTGAGATTGGAGACACAGAGTTCCACAGTTCAGTAACATTTTTAAATCTATTTATTTTCAATTCATTACTACCTTTATAAATTCGAATAGTTCAATAAAACCGTTGAATCGCGATTCGAAGCTTGTCTAATTAACGAATAAAATTTGAAAATTTACGTTCGCCATCTCCTCGTTGGCCCTAAGAACATGACACAGCTCACGTGGAAACCGTACGACTGTTTTCCCCCTGCTAATTAATTTATTATTTACAAGAGTCTGTCGTACCGAGAACGCTTGACTGAACCCATCTCGATCGGAAACGCTGACGAGAGAGGAGGCGACAATAGCTACAGTGTCCATTGATGCTGATCAATGTCTTTAATTTCTAGATCAGGACATGTCCTTAGAAAGAGTTAATCAGAATCAAAGTCTTTAATTTCTAGAACAAGACATATCTTTAGAAAGAACTGATCAAAATTAAAGTATTTAATTTCTAAAGCAAGACATGTCTTCAGAAAGAATTGATTAGTCCTTAGAAAGAACTGATCAGAATCAAAGTCTTTAATTCCTAGAGCAAGACATGTCTTTATAAAGACCTGCTCAGAACCAACGCCGCCACCGTCGCGACCCGTTGCCGTCAGCAGAAGTAAAAAATAGGTACTTTCCGGCTGGCAGGTGCCACAAGCCAGTCCCGACTCAACTAAACGACCGTGTCCCCACTAGAATTGGAAGAGCGTTGAGACCCACCATCCCCAAAGACAGCTCCTACCTCCGCAAAGGGGCAGGAAGAGAGAGGGCGCCCGGGTAAAACATGTCGTATATGAAAATAGGTGTATACCATTTACATTTTATCCCTCTATCACAACATACTGTCTAAGATAAAGTTGTGGCTTGATATGTACAATATATTCATGTCTACAAATTGGCCCATTTCGCTTGATCACCATGATCACTTTAATCACCTCTTGCACATCACACTAGAGATCCTCAGAACGATCCACTGGCAATTACTCTCAACCCATTAGTCCACCGACAAACAAACAAATTACCATCAGGTCTGATCAGGCGAAATGGTCCATCTCGAATCCACAATGTTTGCTGTTCTCGCACGACTCCCACGAACAGACTTTCTACGGTTTTGTACAGATCAAGGGCCTCTAACGCGCTTGGATCGTTTGATTTCGTCAGTCTATTTCAGTTTGGGTCCATCGGCGCTCGATCCCCGCCACCGTGCGCCAGAGAATCATCATCGACGGTCATCACGGGGACAGGGTCTCGGCGACGTGGACAGAGAACACGCCTCGCCGGCTGATGAATCCCAGAGGCACGAGATAGCAGCACATCAAGTTAGAGGACAGCAAGTATAGTTTCTCTTTTCTGTGGGGCTCTCTCTTCCTCCCGGGCTCGCTGTCGTTGTCCTCAATCTAGGGAAATTGAACCGAAAGAGGGCGTAGAGTACGGTAGCCTGTCGTATGTACAATGGACGCCAACGCAGCGTTGCAAAAGCCTCGAAGCTGACTCGAGCTCAACGCTGGAGAAATCCTAGGACTCTGATTCTCAGCTGTCGAAGTCTTTGACGCGTTCGCTACCAGTGTTATATCTGTGACGGATCTTATATTTTACATGAGAATAGATTTAACACGTTGAATTATTATAGTTCAATTAACACGTTCATGGAGAGTGAACATTTTAATCAGTAATAGAAAATGCAAGTTCTCTGAGAGTAAAATGACAATTTGGTACAGCAAAACTATGACGTTGAATATTTAGGATTTTAAATGAAACTTTGTATTGCTATGTAGAATATTCAATAGATTTGTTGCTTAATTTATCTGTGAGTTATTATTAAATTAGTTTCAAATGTCATCTGTATCTCATCAGAAAATGTTGAATATTTCTAGTGAGAAACTTTCGACCGCAAAGGGTTAAAGCTTTGTAGAATTAAGTAATTATGTGGCTTGTCAATTTGAATTTTAGCACTCACGTCTGCGAACGTGTTAAATTATTTGATAATGTTTCTATATTACATAATACTACATAACGTGACGTTCAGCTGAACATATAATATGCAATTCAAATTTTGTACTCTATTTTGCGTATTTTGCTCAATGAAATCGTTCAACATGTTACTCCTACAGATATTAAAAATCATAAACTACATTATACCTAGGAACTCAATGTTTCAGATTCATTCTTCTTAGTTCAGATTTATTATCTCAAATAACTGACTAAACCGTCACGGAAACAAGCGCTGGTAGCGAGTAAACCATCCTGACCCAACTAAATCCTCCAGTACCAAGGTTCCCTCGTCCAAAGAAGGAACTCCAGTTTCCAAAAATATTCATTTGCTTCCCCAGAGTCCCGTGAACCTCGACAGCCGTCTAACGTCGAGCAAGAAGCTTCGGGGACTTCCCAAACGCTGCACCGACGCGACGCCAATCGCAGCGCCCGCTATTTACAACCGTTCCGGCCAGCTCTCCGGTGGAAGAACCCGAACGCAAGATAGAAAAACGTGGGAACCGTAGAATGGTTCTCTGCTCGGTGAAACTTCATCGTCTGCCAGGAGAAGAGGCAGTGTCGCCAGGATGAACAGCTACGTCAGCTTGTAGACTGGAGAGTGCCGAGCCGGCCCGAGTGGGAGGCTTAAGATCATTGAACGAAGTTCACGTTGAACGTCTCGACCTGCATGGCGCGCAGGCTGACGTCCTGCAGGCCGTCCTTTAGTCTCTGCAGCGTCTTGGTGCCGGTGAGCGTGGTCCGCGTGACGTTCAGGTTGGCGAGCTTAAAGAACGACGTGCCTTGTGGGATCTTGTCCGTCAGAGGGCAGTGCTTCAGGGCGACGTCGACTCCCACGGAGCAGCTGTAGCCCTGCCGGTGCAGCACCATCAGCGCGCTGTTCACGGGGAAGTTTGGCAGTTTCTGGTCGTGATTGGTCCTCAGGTTCAGCAGGTGGAGGTCGCAGGGGAAGCTCTGGCTGAGCAGCCGGACCTCCGGCGCCATGGTGATCTCGGACTCGGTCCCGTCGACGACGAAGATGTTCACTGGGTAGTTAAGAGCGTTGCTCAGGTGGTTCGCGTACAGGGACGGTTTGGAGTACTTGTCTTTATCCCCGGTGATGTCCTCCAGTAGCAACCAGTGTTTGATGACGGTCCTACGGTTGTCTAGGAGACCCTCGCCCATTCCCCTCGAGTCATCATATAAAGTCCTCCTATCCAGCATCACTTCTAGCCAGCCGGGCTGGTAGCTGGCAGCTCCTTGGCAGTGGTTCACCAGTAAGGTGAGTCTATGACTGGTGTCCTCGATGTAGGCCATGGTGGTGATGGGGAAGTAATTACCCTCGATGCCGATCCTCTCTATCTTCGTCCTCTTGATCATCTGGTGGCCGTTCAGGTCGGTGTAGAACTCGGGCGGGTCTCCGTTCAGTATATCCGTCTGCAGCCGCATGAACATCTCCGTCTCCCTGTTCTTGGGCGGCGTCTCGAAGTCCACTATGTTCCTCAGGTATATCGCCTCCTCCAGGCCGCCCTCTCTATGGTAGATGGCCACGTGGTGGGTCAGCAGCTTGCCGTACTCCACGGTTAGCCGGGAGCTGAGGGTCCCGCTGACGATGTAGATCTTCTGGTGCGGCGTGTACGCCTCGAGGACGTCCTTGTCGGTGTCCCTGAGGTTGGGGTCGGGCATGAACAGGTACGCGCCGCTGTGGAACTGCGCAGAGGTGTACGCGGCGAACTGGATGGCGCACTGCATGATCTTGCCGGTCGCTTTCTTGGTGACCCTCTTGAGGAAGCCGGTCTGCCCGTCGAACAGTAGCTTCATCCTCTGGTTCTCCAGCTGCACGTCGCCCACCTGCATGGGTTTTATGGGGAACACGTTGTCCTTGCCGCAGCGGCTGCAGTACACCGTGGAGATGGCCTCCACGGGTACCTTGTCTATTTGCTGAAGATGATAGGTGACTATGGCTAGAGGCTTGAGGTCTACTACGAAGAGCAGCACGTAGACGTCATGGGTGATGCTCGTGGCGTTCATCACTGGAGCTATCTGATAGGGGATGGGGTTCCTCTGCGGGTCGAGCACTCTGATCCTGTAGGAGGTCACCTTCAGGCTGATGACCTCTTGCCTGGGCTGGGCCAGGGGGTTGAACAGCACGATCTTCTTGGTCTCCTGGCTGCCGACTCCTATGGGGATCTTCTTCGGCAGCTTCTCGTAGCTGTCGCGGTCGGACTCGGCCAAAACGTACACCGAGTTCTGCTTGCTGGTGGTCCCGGCTAGCGACTGGATGACGAAGCTCTGGAGGCTGGTCGTGTCCGAGATCGACTCGAACAACTTCAGAGCGTAGTCCTTCATGACGAACGACTTGGAGGTGCCTGTGATGGCGTCGTGATGCTGGAACAGACCTAGATTTCGTCTGGCCTTCACCAGTTTCTCGAAGTAGGTCTCGTACAGCATGAAGTCCTTATCGGACTGCTTCGCCACGTTCAGGGCTATCGTGTAGAGGATCTCGGCTGACCGGAGGTTAGCCTCCAGCTCGCGGTCCAGGATCTTCATGTACGGCCTGGTGGTGAAGTAGCCGCTCCAGTAGGCTGGTCTACCTTCGCTGAAGATGTCAGAGTAGACGAAGAAGTCTCCCTGCAACGTGGGGAAGGCTTCCACTCGCTTTCTGATCTCTTGGAAGTAGTCCTTCGGCGTGCCGAACACGATCTCGGCGTTGTACTCTTCTCTGCGGCTGTTTATGTAGTCCATTAGGATCTTGTAGTTTGTGTACTGTTGGTCCCATTCCACTGCGTGGTCGTATCTGGAACAGGATAAATGGGGAACGTGATGTAGACTAGTTGTAGGGGATGAGGGGATTGAGTTCTAGAAAGAGTAGTGCTAGTAGACATCTAGAGGTGAATATTGGAGGTACCAATGCTAATACTGATTTCTAATTAACGGTACTAACGATTTACTGTTAATCTTACTATAAATTGAAATGACTATGCAAGAAAGATAATTATTATATCCTCATTAAATAGGACTAAGCGAGAAAGGCGAGTAACACTAGTAACCCTCCAGCGGTATAGTAGATGTATTAATATTGATTTCTAATTAACGTTACTACCATTTTACTGCTAATAATACTGTAAATCACAATAGCTGTGTAGCAAACATAATTATTATTGTATCCTCATTAAGTAGGACTAAGCATTAGCACTGGTAGCCCTCTAGCGACATAGTAAATGCCACCGCAACGCGAATACTTAATTAATAAGTGATTAAGTAATTGATTAAACAGTTAAACAGTTAATTCAATCAATTACTTATTACTTATTAATCACTTATTAATTAGTTCACTTAACACAGTGCGTACCGGCTAATTTTCAGAAATTATAATTAATACATAGAAAAACTTAGATATCATACTGTTATGTAATATATTTTAAGTAGATAATCAATTCGAATTAAGTTTTATATTTTTTCGATGCTGTAATTAGCAAAGTTACACAGCTAAGTGTCTTCATATAAAAACGAGGTTTCTCGTTACCAGTACGCAACGTGTTAACAATTACTAATTACTGATTAGTTTTTGAAACTTCTGATTCCTTACTAATTAACATTTGCTATTTTAAATTGAAATATATATGTAGAGCTACTTAATTTGCAAAACCTAAAATATCTATCTAAAACTTCCGATCTTTCCCGGATCAGTGTCACTTCCTTATATTTATATTTTCCCAAGTCGAAATCTTAGAAAATGGCGTTGGCTTCCGAGCGACTCGGTCGTTAACGTGGAACGTGGAAAAATGATTTTATTAATGCGCAGCGTTCGCTGACGCTACCGGTATTCAACGTTTATCTTTATCAATCATCTAAATTACTAAATAAATCGCATCACGCCCTGTCACCCTCACCTAAAGTCATCACCCAACGGCATCAGCACAACATTATGAGCGAACAGCGATCCAGTGCGCGAGTACTGTTCCAACAGCAGCTCGGCCATGTGCTTGACGTTGTTCGGTGTGATCTCGACCGCGCGGACCGAGTACTCGGTGTACTCGCCCCGTATCTTCCGGAAGTCGAAGTTCAGGCAGACGTGCGGGTGCGGGCCGCACGAGTGCTTGATGTTGTAGATGTCGAACGGCTGATTGTGGGTCAGCATGTCCGCGTCGCCGGTCTGGTCCCAGGGCTGCAGCCAGACGAAGTCGCCGTACTGCTTCTTCGCGAACCACTGCTTCCACGCGTAATGGATCCGCTGGATCACGGTGCCGGAAGCGCCGGAAGCCTTCAGCAAATACGGAATGGTCCCGCCGTGGCCGAACGGGTCGACGGACCAACCGGACTCCGGGACCACGTCCAAGTTCGTCTTTAGCCACTGGTGACCTGCAATCATTGACCCACGGTTTCGTTAGGGTTGAATTTTGAATGTGGTGGAATAGGAAATTGGAGTGATTTGGACTGGGAAGTATTGTAATGGGGTTTGGGATTATGGTGGAATTGGAGGTGAGATTGAAGTAGGAGATTTTATGAGTGTGTTATTTTAAGGTTTGAAGGTTTTGTAGTTTGTGATTGAGCTGTGATAAGAGGATTCGATGATAGGAAGCTTCTTTAATTCTATCTACAACCCTAAGCTTGTATAACTTTATTGTAATTGTAACTATAATTCTAAACGTCAAGGATAGGAAGCTTCCATAATTTTATTATAATTGTAACTGTAACTTTATTATAATTGTATCTATAATCCTAAGTCTCAGTAATAAGAAGCTTCTATAATTCTACTATAATTCTATCTACCACTCTAAGCTTGTATAATTTTATTGTAATTGTAACTATAATTCTAAATGTTAAGAATAAGGAGCTTTTATAATTTTATTATAATTCTAAGTGTAACTCTATTATAATTCTATCTGTAACCCTAAGTCTCAATAATAGGAAGCTTCTATAATTCTATCTGCAACCCTAAACTTTTATAATTCTATTATAATTCTAACTATAATCCCAAACGTCAACAATAGGAAGCTTCCATAATTCTATTATAATTCTATCTATGACTCCATTATAATTCTATCTATAACCCTAAGTTTCAATAATAGGAAGCTTCTACAATTCATTCTGCAACCCTAAACTTCTATGACTCTACTATAATTCTATCTACAACTCCATTACAGTTCTATCTATAACCCTAAATTGCAATAATAGGAAGCTTCTACAATTCATTCTGCAGCCTTGGATTTCTATGACTCTACTATCATTCTATCTATAACCATAAGTCTCAATAATAGGAAGTTTCTATAATGCTATTACAATTCTATCTATACCTCCATTATAATTCTATCTATAACCCTAAGTCTCAAGAACAGGAAGCTTCTATAACTCTACCATAATTCTACTCACAACCCCCACAGAATAGAACACCTTTCCATCTACCCTTGACCAACCTAACATCCCACTATAATTAACAGTCATCATTAATTCCCACAATCCTCCCAGAGAATTTCTATCCTCTCGAATTCCAATTTTATATTATCCTTATTCATATTATATAATCGAATTTCATTTAAAATTGTTGAATTATTAGCAGGTCTGGCTTCCAAAAGAATTTGTTTATTAATTAAAAATAGAAAACAAAGTATATGTATTCGTGTAAATTTAGTAACCGTTCGCTTGGAATGCTCGTTCGAAAAAAACCCAGCAAACTAACGGTAAGGAACGGCAGTGACTCGGGTTGCAAAACTGATCGTGTTTTATGACCCTTTTTTATGACGCTTTCGTCGAACGTACATCAAGACTACGATTCAAAATACACATCGTGAGTCAATTTATGCCAAAATCTAACAAAAATTAATAACTAACGTGCACAATTAATAACTAAGCATCCCAGAATAAAACTGACCTCCAATCCTAGACACTGCTCAACATCTAAACCAACGGTAGCCGAACACCCGGCACAACGTTAGTAAAATAAGAAAAATATTTCTCTTAATTGAGTGTCATTTAATGAACAGTTGCCGCGGTATTGTTCCACGGAATCATATTTCTTTTCACGGGTTTCGGCGTCGAGGAACACGCTCGGATGAGTCTTTCGACCAGCTTCCATTAAAACACTGACTACTCTGCACTACAGAAAGAGAGAAAGAGGGAGGGAGAGAGAGAGAGAGAGAGAGATGTCGCGTGAAAGGATGAAGCTTCTCGTTAAATTTGAAGCTAGAATTCTCTCCTTTGAGCGCCGGTTGCTCGCGATCGCGGAATATTTATCGCGAGAACCGAGTAAACATCCGGTGGATGTTCATTTAAACAGTCATGGCTGAGAGAACAACGGCTTTCTTCAGTTCAGGAGACATAACGTTCTCCATCTAATGATCCCGTGTCTTGGGCCTCCGGTAGCGGACATTTTTGATGACCTGAGGGCTGACGAATTTTTCTCGATTTTTTGGTATATAATAAATAAATATGATAAAGAAATTTTTACTATATTTTTCCTTGTGTGAGAATGTCTAGGTTACACTAGGAAATTTGCAAGGCTCTCGACTAATTGGGACTGCATTTATTGTGAAATTGCTAGTAGAAATTGGAAGTAAATTCGATTGCAAGTAAAATGGAAATTAATTTAATTGTACGAACAATAATAAATCACTATAAAACTCTCTTTCCAAATACCTAACAGTTTAATACACAATTTCTATAACTCTCAATAATATTTTCAATTGCAATTATCTATTGTAGAATTATTATTAGGAAGATTAGTTCTTTCTTTAATATTTAACAGTTCAACTTCTGCTAAAGCTTCCAACTACAATAAAAATTCTTTTATCATAACACAGCTTCAACAAACTACAAATTAATTCAATCATACAACAACTAACGAATCTCTATAAAATTCTCTTCCCAATACCCAACAGTTCAACAGTTCCATACACAATTTCCACAATTCTTCAAAGCTCATCGAAAAATCCTTCGAGGAGGGGGTTGTTTCATAGGTAATATCCGTGCAGGTGTGATAAATCGCGAACGCAGGCCTCTATCGCGCGGCAACGGGTCTGGATTAACTCCCGGCTGTTGCACAGGGTCAGACGGGATTGTCTGGTCGACGAGGAATGCCGGGAGGGTGAGGGAACTGATAAATAGGCATCGATTACGGTCCACGTACACCCTCCGACCGCATATTGGAGCGAGATTCCGTCGCGAACAATCGTGTCTGAATTAGGTCCACCCTTGTCCTACCGCTGTCGCTATTCCTCATTTCATTTGAATATGCATAAGCCCATCCGGCGCGCACCGAGGCATTAGACAGTCCCAAAAGTGTCCTTCGTTTTATTAATACATAAGGGATGCATGATACTTTACGCTCCATGCAGTATTACTGGATTACCGAAATGCATTCTGGATTTGTTGGCTTCTTCTATTCTTCTGGAAGCTTTGTTAAGGGATTTTATCAATATTTATTTAGCAATGGAACTACCGTACCAGTCAAAATGACTGGTTTCGATTTTCTTGCTTCGCAGTTATTAACCCTTTGAACTCTGTAGGCTCCAATATTGCACAAGTTATAATCTTAAGGTAGTTTCCTTAAAATTCATTAAAATATTTAAGATTATTAGATCTTTCAAATATACAAGGTTTGTACTGAGAAGGGAATTAAAGGTCTAAGAAATGTTATAACACTGTTAATATTCTGTAGGACCACTATCAAAATTGGCAGGAGTTGCTAACACGCCACAAAACTATGTGGAGTGCTAAGGGTTAATACAGAAGTGTTGAATATTCGAAATAATTTCGAAAATAGTTTCACTTGAATATTATGACGAATATCCGAAGAAACTGAAAAAATGTGTTGTTACAATTTTTATACGGAATACATGTCATTACATGATTACGTACTTCGCGAGAGGGAAGTGTAATTTTAATTATAACGATTTATTCAATAGAACTTTGGATTATTAGTGTAGTATCTAGAATTTTTAGCGTAGGTTAAGGTATTTTTAAGAGTGAATTCCATATTTTATTAAATACATATTTTTATTCCTAGCTCTCGATCACTCAAGATCCACCTTTTCATTATCTATACTACAGTAACACTATAATAGTTTCATTTGAATACTATGACCAATATCCGAAGGAACTGAAAAATTTGTTATTACAATTTTTATATGGATTAAGTCTAATTTTAGTTATAACGATTTATTCAATAGGATTTTGGATTATCAGTAGATCATTTAGAGAAGTAGAATAAAAAAATTTGGAATGCAACGGAGGTTTTCCAGGAGAATATTCGAACTGAATGGATGCAATTGTTAATATAAATGAAATTGAAATAAATTATAGGCAATATTTCAGTAAATTGAACCGTTTATTTTGACAGTGGCTTAAGTCCACTTTTAAAAAATGTTAAAAAATGAAGATTATTCAGAATTGTAACCATTATGACGATTAACTTGACTTTTTAAAAATGGAAGCCACTTTCAAAATAAATGGCTCAATTGTACAAGAAAAATTGAGCTGTTTAGAAGATTCAAGTTTAGGGGATGTAAACTAGAATTTAGTGAATCACTCGAGGATTGTCAAGCCTGCGAAGCGTTCACAGGTCTGATCCTTAAAAGCCTAACCCACTTTTAATACCGGTGAAACACGATGTCTCAGCTCCAATCTCGATACGTTGGATCAGAGGAGCCTGAAATTTATAGGTCATAAACTTATCGTTGGGACATTAAGCGACGCGAAGCTTCGAGACACGTCTTATCGGGAATCCCGCGGGAGCAGGGGGAATCCTGAGTGACTCGAATGTTCTCCCCGCTGCGCCCCAATTTCACCGAGACGCAGAATCTGTGTCTTCTCTTATTTCCAAGAACTTTCGGAGGAGGAAAATTTAATCTCAAGAAAATCTCTTTGTTGTATCAAGAAAACCAGAGCAGTAGAAAGAAGTGTTCTAAGTGAAGAAGACTGCGGAGGCTGTGATAAAGATCGGTGGCTACGAATTGTGTTGTAGTCTTTGTTGAGAAGTGAAGAGAAAAATAATTGAATAATTGGATGGTTGAATGATTGAATAATTGAATGATTTAATGGCTGAATGATCCAATAGCTGAATAATCGAATATCTGAATAATTATAAACTGGTATAGTTGAAGAGTTAAAAAATTGAATGGTTGAATGATTGAATAATTGAATGATTTAACGGCCGAATGATTGAATAATTGAATAATTGAATAATTGAATAGCTGAATGACCGAATATCTGAATAATTATAAACTGGAACAATTGAATAATTGAACAGTTGAATAGCTGAATACGTGAATACTTAACTAGATGAATAATTCCACATTTGAATACTCGAACACACAAACAATTAAAAACCTGAACAGTCGAACATCTAAAAATTCAAAACCTTA